AAGGTTACAACAGGGTTTGGCAGTGCAGACAGGGTGGGTTTGTTGTAGACACCTAGGAGAGATATATGGACTATTCAATGAGTTCACACAGTCTGGATTGTACCTCAGAACTGAGTAATGAGTTGGCATACATTCAGAGCAAACTTTTCCAAAGAGTCACATCTGGGGATTCATATGATTCCTGAGTCATTACTCACCTGTCACCACCAGTTCCAGGGCATCACTCTGCTGTGTCCACCCAGCAGTGTTATAACAGTAACAGTGATATCGTCCTGCATTATAAGCCCTCATCGTTGGGATGAAAAACTTGGCCTTGTGAACAGGCACTGGTGCAGTTAATCTGTCCAAGGGTGCTGGGCTTCCTTCTTTATACAGGAAATATATTTGAGTTTCCATGGTTCCCTCACACCAGATTGTCACAGGATTCCCTGAGGTGATCATAGAGCCCGGTTCAGCCCAGATGCTGGGTTTCTGGAGGGTCCCTGAAAAGACATAAGTGAGAGGCATGTGGGACTTTAAACAGTTGTACAGTGAATGTGAAACTCAGACTTGACCCTTGAATAACTGAAGGACACATGGAAGTATCTGAAGATCCATATCTTTGCCGACCCTCCCATGTTCTATTACCACAACAACTCTCATTAGTTTCTGTATCTTGACTCCCAGAGTCTGCATCTGTATCTGTGGGCTAATACACACGTCCTTCCCTGTGCTCACTACAGGGACACATAGAGACCTCTGAAGACATGTCTCTCCCCTCCCCCTACCAAGTTCCCTTCTGAGAACCCCCACTCAGTAGTTTCTGTATCTTGACTCCCACAATCTGCAGCTGTATATGTGGGCTCAGGAACCTGTCCTTCACTGTACTTATGACACATTAGGGTCTCCTAGGAAAAACTGTTTCAGGTTCAGTGTCATTCAATAGGGAGCCTGGGGCTTCCTCACCTGAGACTAGAAGCTCCAGGATGTCACTCCCTTCTGACCACACTTGAGGCTTGCTTGTGTGATAGCCATAGCATCTGAAACTCCATCTTTCACTGAGTGTGATGGCACTCACTTGGAATCTGGCTGAAGACAGGCCAGTATATACATATTGTGAGTCCATGGAGCTGTAGAACTGCTCATCCTTAATTAAAATGAACCTGCCGTATCCCTGATTTGAGATACATGAGAGG